CATTTAGTATGATGTTGGCTGTTGGTTTTTCGTAGATAGCTATAATCAGGTTGAGATTAAGACCTTCTATTCCAATTTTCTGTAGCGTTTTTATCATGAATGGGTGCTGGATTTTGTCAAATGCCTTTTCTATGCTGGGTTTTCTTTATGGGTACATTTCAGAGTCTTGTCATCCATTTTTCTTATGTTACTGAGATATATATGCTGCTGATGAGTTGTAACTATTTTTTGGCAGTTTGTCCTTTAGTCTTTGACTTTCGTGTAAAAATTATCTTTTATTTAGTCAGATTTATTGGTCTTTTAGAGCTTATAGGTTTTGGCATACTTAGAATGGCTTTTCTGCTGCATAAATATTTTATTTATTTACTTTCAACTTTTATTTCTTTACTCCCCTCCCATCCTTCACCTCCCTCCCATAAACATTCTAAAAATTTTCCTATGGCCTCTCCTTTAATTTTGAGTCAGGGGCTAAGTTGCCCAGGTGGGACTTGAACTCATAATCTTCCTGCCTCAGCCTCCTTAATCTTCTATGGTTTTGAAATTCCAACGTCACACAGTGTTTCATCCCACCCATTGGCTGAACAGCCTGGGCAGGGCTGAGGGATGCCAGCGAGTGCCATTCCCGCAGGGACCTGGTGCTGTGGTCACTGCTCCCAGAATCCCAGTGCCCTCCACTGGAAGTTCTCAAATTGGACAAAGATGCCTTGATACACATACTTGATCTCACTTTGCGCCCTGAAACATGTGCCCACAGCCCTCCAGGGTTTGTTTCTGTGCTGCTCTCCTAATCAGTGACTGCAGGGTAACATCCAGATGCTCCCATATGAGACTCGGCCCATTACTGCAGCCTGGCATTGCAGTGAGATTTTCAGCAGCAGGGCCGGGATCACAGAGAAATCACTGAAAGGTGTGGTTGTGGGAGGTTGTCCAAGACAGGCCACACCCCTGCCACCTGGATCTGAGCCCTGGAGCGCCCCCACCCACCCTGCCCAGCATCTTCCAGAAGATGGAGATAACAGGACCTGCCATGGGGATTTCTTTCTTTCTTTTTTTTTTTTTGGTACTGGGGATTGAACTCAGGACCTTGCGCTTGCAAGGCAGGCACCGGAACCACTGAGCTAAATCCCTGGCCCTTGCCATGGGGATTTCGAGGGTCAGAGAGGCAGTGTAGACAGAGCACTGAGCAGAGCAGGGCAGACAGAATCCACAGGAAAGAGGAACTTTTCTCATCCGTAAGGGACAGTTTGGAGCTGGTCTTGGGGACAGGATGTTTGAATAGAAAAGGGACAGACTTTTAGAGTGGAGAGCACTGTTTTATCGTCATTTGTTTTGTGGTACTGAGGATTGGGCTCTTTGCACTGAGCTACATGCCCAGGCTTTTTGTATTTTTTGAGCCAGGGTCTCACTAAGTTGCTGAGTTTCCTAGACTGAGCTCGAACTTGTGATCCCCCTGCCTCAGCCTCCCAGAGTGCTGGGTTTGCAAACATGGGCCACCACACCCAGCTGGGCGCTGTTTTCCTTATACCTGGGATTCAATCTATAGAGGTGATTAAGTGACAAAATAGAAGGCCAGCGTCACTGAATACTATTCACAGTAGTGCCATTCCAAAAGTACTGGGGTTGATCAAGAGGCTGAGGAGGGGAAAGCTCGGTTCCGATTTCCTGATTCCAGCCGGCTCCTGGGTTCAGCTGGAGTCTCTAGTTGCCTGGTCCCTGGCCCTGGGTGAGTAGGGCAGGGGGACACTGGCTGAGTGTGTGACAGGCAGATTGCAGACGTTGGGTACATGTGCTCTGCATATGAAAGGCAGGCTCCCAGGCAAGTTGCTTCCTATGGGGGACTGAGAGGTGGGGGCAGTCTCTCCACAGTTGGCAATCTCCAGGATGGAAAAGCACTATAAAATACAGGCAAGAAAAACCACGCTTAGAGCCAGGTGTGGTGGTGCACAGCTGTAATCCCAGAAGTCTGGGAGGCTAAGGCATGATTCCAAGTTCAAGCCCAGCCTGGACAGTATAGTGAGACCCCGTCTCAAAACAAATGAACTCCCACAGGAAATAAAAACTGTGCACATAGCAGGTCTAATACTTAAAAGCCCTCTTTCCTCAAGTAGGTATTGACTGTGTGGTCAGCTACGGAGCTCCATGTCTGAAAGCATTCAAGCAGAGATGGGCATACTCGAAAAGAGATACTTCTGTGGGCCGCAGGGACAAAGACCTCTTTTAGAAAAATACTCAAACTGGCTCAAACAGAAAAAAGTATTATTTAACCAACTGGGAAGCTGAAGGATTTCAGATACAGCTGGATCCAAGAGCACAAACCATGTCATCAGTCATTTGCCACTGTCTGTTGCTTAGGTTTTAGCGCCCCACTTTGGCTTCCCTCTACCTATTTAGCAAATCTTGCAGATAGAAGAATGTATCCTTCCAGTGTCCCAGGGTCAGTTCTGGGACTGGGTTCTCGGGTCACAGTTTTAGGGTAGGTTCCCTAACCTAGGGACCCAGAGCGAGGCAGGGGAAGCCCCACAAGGGAAACGGAGGCGCCTTTGGTAAAAGCGGGGTGGTGGTGAAGTGACTCAAAGCGACCCCTCCGCGGGGGCTCCTTCCAGCTGCAAGGTCCCCCCACCCCGAGCCTGCAGGGCCCCCAGCCCCGGGGGGTTCGCGCTGACCCCTCATTCCTGCCAGGCCCGGGGGCTGCTGCAGAACCGCGTGCTGTTGTGGAAGGAGCAGGCCGAGGCCAGCCGCGGCCCGTCTCGGGCCCACTCCCCCGGCCTGCTGGGCCCAGTGCTGGGGCCTCCCTACCCGTCCGGCCGCCTGACACCCACCCGCCTGGACATGGTGAGGCCCTGGCCGCTCCCGCCGCCCTTCCCGGGGCCCTGGCCGCCCCCCACGCTCCCGCTCTACGCCGCGCCCCCCGCGCTCCCGCTCTACGCTGCGCCCCCTGCACCACCCTTCCGCCCTGGCGCGGCCTCGGCGCCCCCTTGGTGGCCGGGTCGTCGGCCCTACAACCCCTACTCCCCAGACGCCAGGGACTGGGGGTGGGGCTGGGGGCGCGGCTGGGACTAGGATCCGCCCACCCGCCCCACCGCCCCTCCCCGCCCCACCGCCCCTGCCCTCTGCCCCCGCAGCCCCCTCGGCCCCTGGGCGAGTTCGGCTCCCCGCGCAGCCGGCACGGCTCCGGCTCCTACGGCCCCGAGCCCGCCGAGGCGAGGTCCGCGTCGCAGCTGGAGCCCGAGCGCCGGTCCCTGCCGCGGACGCCGTCGGCCTGTGAGTGCGGGCCCGGGACGGGCGGGAGGGATGGAGGGCGGGCGGTGCCAGCTGTCACCCACGTGCAACGTCCTCGCCCGCAGCCTCGCTCTACACTGGCAGCGCGCAGCGCTCGCGCTCCAACTCCTTCGGCGAGCGCCCGGGCGGCGGCGGGGGCGCCCTCAGGGTCCGCGCGCTGGTCTCGCATTCCGAGGGCGCCAACCACACTCTGCTGCGCTTCGCGGCCGGGGACGTCGTGGAGGTGCTGGTGCCCGAGGCCCAGAACGGCTGGCTCTATGGCAAGCTGGAGGGCTCGTCCGCGTGAGTGGGGGTCTGCGGGACGTGGGTGGCGGGAGGTGAGGCCCCAGGTCCATACTGCCTACAACCTCCAGGACTGGGCTTCCCCATCCCCCGTTTCCCGGACATTTCTCTGCTCCTATCCCCACCCTGCCTTAGTTTACCCATCTGTTCCGCGGGGATAGGAAGAGCCTCCAACCCGAGTTCAGGGGGACAGCACTTGAAAGGGGGAGAGAATAGGATGGGCTGACAACTGAAATCAAGCCAGACCTGGTACTCAGGAGGCTGAGACAGGTGGACTGCAGGTCAGAGCCCAGCCTGAACTACATAGTGAGATCCTGTCCAAAAAGAAAAAGCCGAAACCAGGCCCTTTGGCTGTTTTGACACCCGGAGTGGAGCAGGGGCACGGGGCAATGAAAACACTGCGTCTGCAGAAAGCCTCTTGGAGCGCAGAGCTGGCAGTCCAAAAGGCGGTGTGCCACTGTTTGCTGCGGGAGGAAAGGGGGAAGGGGGCTGCTGGGGTCAGGCAGTGCCCTCCACAGAGCTTTATGGGCAGGCCAGCGAGATGCCCACTCCCACTCAAGCCCCAGGAGGAAGGAGGAAGTGGAGGAGTGGGGGGGGTGAATGAGCGGATGCGTGGGTACATGTGGAGAGGATGGGTGATAGTGTGGGTTTGCACATGAACAGGTGGATGCATATGTGTGCAAGTGGGGGGCAGCTGGGGGCTGAATGGGTGGACGTGGGGTCCTGCACAGACTGAGGGGTGGTGGGGGAGGCATCTGAGTGGGCCGTGGGTGACCGATGGAGAGCATGCGCTGTAGATGCTCCCTGAGTGTTGCCCAGGGGGTTATGGGTAGGTGAGCAGAAGCAAGAGTGACAGCTGGTGCTAAGGTCATGGCCCAGCAGGTGCAAAAGGGGTCAGGGATCAGGCATGACTGAGACCAGGAATGGGGTGCCCTGGAGCGCTTGTCTGCAGACCCATATCAGACCCCAGGGTGGAGCAGACTTCCGGGGACCTGTTGGAAACCTTCTAGGCCAGTGGTAGTGATCCGGTGGCACACATGCCACAGCCTACTGTTTGTTATCACTAAAAGCTCTAACAGGTTCGCCGTTGCTGTTCTAGATGAATGTCACCGCTCTCTCGGGGCCCACTTAGGGAAAGGGACTGCAATGTGTGCCCTCGGTAGGCACTTCCTGGTGAGAACAGAAGGGCACACAGGGAAATGTTCTCTTCTCTCGATTGTGGGTGGCACTGCTCCCGGATCCCTTTCGGTGAGGATGCCGCCCAGCGGGTCATTTAGGGTGTGAGGCAGCTCTTTGGAGAACATTTCCCCAGGGGTCCCGCCCAGCAAAGACTCCAGGCGAAGGCCAGGTGCAGGAGAGCCGGGGTGCCGCCCCAGTGCTCGGGATGAAGGGGTAGCTAGGGGCTGGGGGTCCTGGGGTGGAGGAAAGCCGCTGGGCTGGAGTGGGAAGAGTGCTGGATTTTGTGTCAGCCACCCTGGGGTTGGGTGCCCCTTCCTCTGTGTACCTCCTTGGCCCCTCCCACCCACCCCCAGCTCACTGCCTTGTCATCAGCCTGTGTATGAGTCTGCCCCCCGCCCCAAGGCTGGGAGCTTCCCGAGAGGGGGCACGTGTGTTGCTCAGCTCACCATGTTCGGGGCACAGTGAGTAGGGAAGGGAGCCACATCTTACAAGTCCAGGGACAGATGGCTTTCCTCCTGGGACTCCCAGTTCCTCCTCTCGTAGGCACCCTGGTGGAATATGAGGTGGGAAGGGCAGGTGTAAGACCTTGAATACCAGGAAAGACTTCTTCCTTGGAAGTAACCAGGTCACTATCTGCAAAGCCCTCTAGCAAACAAAGCCAGGCACAGGACAGTGGGCAGTATTTGTCTGCTCTTCTTGGAATTGTTTCAACCCTTGTTACTGGACCTTGTTCGAGGGAACCTGTCTCTGCCCTGCAGGAGCGGCTGGTTCCCCGAGGCCTATGTGAAACCACTGGAGGAGGTGCCCGTGAATCCCATGATCCCCTTGAGCCCCATGACTGCCATGAACCCCATGAGCCCCATGAACGAGCTGTCTTCCAGGTACCTGGGTGAGGTGGGGCTCCTGTGGAGGGTGTCCCTGCCCACGCGGGGAGGCACCTGTACCCTGTAGTCCTGGGGGTCTGGCCTCTTCAGTCCCCAGAAAGCCACCCTGCCACCCTCCCTCTTCCCATTGAAGGCCATCATGTCCCTGACCTGCCTCCTCCCAGGTGTAGGGGTGAGTGCCCAGCAGATAGGCTCAGACCCCAACCCCTTTTGCTCCCCTCCCTCGCCTGGATTCAGGTCCTACCCACTCCGGGGCAGCCACAGCCTTGATGACCTCCTGGACCGATCAGGCCACTCCACAGCATCCCCAGAGTACTTGGACGGTCAGGCTCGCTCCCGAAACCCGAGCCGGGTCCCAAGCCAGGTCCCAAGTTGCAACCCCAGCCCCACACCCACGCCCTTGCCTGGCAGCCGTCGAAGCAGCATGGGCAGCATGGGTGTAGCCAGTGACGTCAAGGTGAGGCCCCTGCCTGTCCTTGGTCCTGGACAGGGAGATGGGGGTGGGTGACCCCCTGCCCTGCTAGTGGCTGCCAGGCAGGGAACCCTCCACAAGGGTCCTGCTTGGGGCACAAAGACTCCCACCCTGCTCAGGGCAGAAAGACCAGGGTTCTAGGCCAGAGCATGGCTGGGGCCACACAGCAGGCAGGGCACCTTCCCATGAGGTCTCCCCATCTCATCCCAGAGGGCAGTTGGCCAAAGAGCTGGCCCTCCCAGCCCAGAGCTGTGTCAAATTTTTTTTTTTTTTTTTGGTACCCGGGATCAAACTTGGGATCTTGCACTTGCGAGGCAGGCACCAGAACCACTGAGCTAAATCCCTGGCCCCGCTGTGTCAAATTTGAAACCAGAGAATTCTGGCCTCCCACTGCCAGGTCTCCTTTCCTGGAGTTTGTGGGGCAGGCTCCTCTGGCCCAGCACCTCCTGGTGTGGGGACAGTGCTGGCCCCTTCCCTCCCACCCACCCACCCGCCCTTCCTCCATCTACCACAGAAACTCATGGCCTGGGAGCAACACCCCCCGGAACTTTTCCCTCGGTGAGACCCTGCCTCCGGGCAGAGGGGGGTGGAGCAGGGGGGCCGATGGCCACAGGTGGCAGGAGGTGGACTCCTGGGCCCTTCTCACCCTGGCCTTCCCCTACAGGGGCACGAATCCCTTTGCCACCGTGAAGCTGCGTCCCACTGTCACCAATGACCGCTCGGCGCCCCTCATCCGCTGAGGTCCTTCCTCCGTCGGGGTCTGAGATGGAACCACACACCTGCCTGGGGCTGTTCGGAGCCAGCAGCAGTGGCTGTGGCAGCAGTGGCTCCAAGATGCCCAGGTCCTGGTACCAGGTGGTCATCCTTCCCAGGCCACCATTAGCCTGAGTGGCTCCCCGGGCACTGACCTTCGGCCTGGGGTCTCTGGAGTACAGCAGGGGGAATCGGGAAGTGGAGCAGTTGCTTCCCACAGGGGACCGCCCTCTTCTCCCCAGCTTCTTTCCCCTTCTCTGCCACAGTGGGAGGAGCCCTTGTACCACACCCATGCCCACAGAGGGTCCCCACTTAACTTTTATAAATGATGACCAATAAAGGATGCGCACATGACAGCCAGAATGGTGGTGTCCTTTGAGGGACAAGTAGGAGGTCAGGAATGGGGACCCCTGACAGGGAATGGAGTCTAAATGTTCCGAAGGTCATGAGCACTCCCTAGGAGGCTGTCTCTCACTCCTGGCACCTCAAATCCCTCATTTTGAGTAACTTTTTAGGGCTCCCCTCAGGCCACACCTTTCAGAGTCTGCCCCAGACCCCAGGGAACAGTGGCTGCTGTACAGTGTGGGGAGGTCTGGACCCCAGCACCTTCCCCTCAGGTGGCTCCTGACACAGCACCCTTTGTTCTGGCCCCGCTACCCCCATGCTGTGGGCCTGAGCCCCTGGATTAGCCTGATCCGGGAAGCTGGGAGCCCTCCTGGAATGTGGCCAACAGGGGCAGACGAGGATTCGGGACTATGCCCCTCAGCACCAGAACAGGAGCCCGGGCTCTGTGTCCTCCGTCTGAGCCCCCCCCCCCTGAGTTGGAGGGGTCCCCTCAGCCCTCCCTGGCTCGGACAGGACAGGGAGCCCACTGCAGAGGCCCTGCTGGCCCCATTCTCATGGTCACTCCAGCCCTTTCCCCTTCCTGGGCAAAAGCCTCTTAGTAGGAGTGGGTGGGGGCCCCCCTAAGCCCTGGCACCGGGCACAGGGGAGTCTGTGAGCCCGGCAGGGTCAGCGTCAAGGGAGCCAGCCAGGCTGTTCTCTGCAGGCCTCAGGAGATGAGGCTGATGCCCAGAGCAAGACAGGCCCGGTGAGTGCGGGGCGGCAGCTAGAGGGACCTAGGGTCAGTGGAAGAGGGCAGGGTCCCGGGCTCCCCTGGGAAGTGGGGACAGCTTTGTCCAATGCCAGTAAGGACACCCCAGGTGCTGAGGGTGAAGGGTAATGAGGCTTGGTGCACCCTCCCAGTCTGGGCAGAGAACCCCTGGGCGGCTCCCAGGGCTGAGAGGCTTGGGTGGAGAGGTTGGGGGATGCTGGGATGGGAGCAGCTGTTCATCCCCTCCAACCCCCAAGGCTTCCAGCTGGCCTAGGTGAGATCAGTCACCCATCTTACAGGTGGGGAAACGGAGGCTCAGCAAGGGGAGGGGCATGCCCAAGTCACAGAGCAAATCTGTGGCTCTGCTGGGGTAACCCAGACCTCAGCTCCCTTGGCTTCTGAGACAAAGCTAATGTTCCATGGGACCTGGGTTCCCCTTAATGTTCCAATGACAGTCATAACTCCCGTCATCAAGAAAAAGGAATCCAGTAAGGCCACTAGGAAAAAAACTCCAGCCCACTCTGCAGCTGGCACCTGTCCCACGGGGCGTTTGTTCTGACTGTCCAGAGCCCCTCACACATACTCCCTGGGACACTGGCAGGCCCCAGCACACCCCCTGCACACATACTGGCCCCCAGCCCTCACCCCGCATCCTTTCTGCCGTCATTAGGTCCTGATGGGGAGAAGCCCTCCCAAGGCAGCCTTCCTGAAGTCGAACCTCAGGTGGGGCACTCAGTACCCTCCCACAGCCCCTTGTGGGCAGAGAGGGTTGGGCTGAGCCTAACTCAGTTTCCCCTCTTGGCTCCACTACAAAGAGGGTTCTGTGGGTAATTCAGGGCCTCAGTTTCCCCTCCAGGTCTTCATCCCCCTTCCCTGGGCGACATCGATCCAGCCACTTCCTCTTGCCCTGTCTTCCCAGCACAGGCAGCGGCAATGAGAGCTGACGGCCCCCGGAGGGGTATGGGGCCCGGTGTGGGGCCCCCAGACGGCGGCTGGGGCTGGGTGGTGCTGGCCGCCTGCTTTGTGGTCACCGGCTTCGCCTACGGCTTCCCCAAGGCCGTGAGCGTCTTCTTCCGCTCGCTCATGCGCGACTTTGGCGCCGGCTACAGCGACACGGCCTGGGTGTCCTCCATCATGCTGGCCATGCTCTACGGCACGGGTCAGCCTCTCCGGCCCTCTGCGGGGCCCGGGGCTGGGGCTGGGAACCTGACCCTGCCCAGGAGCCCCCCCCTTCCTGTGGAAACCCTGGTATCAGAAAGAGCGGAGGAGGGGGCAAGAAAGAGACAGGGACCAGGGTGGAGCCCGCCCAGGTAGCGGACCTGGCCAGTGGGCGGAGCACCTCGGTCCCAGCACACGCCGTCCGTCTTTCCCCAGTGAGCATAGAAATCCAAAGACATCCTCGGCTCC